ATGTGAACTAACTGTACAGACACGCTGTGTAAGTGGAAAGGACCTGCTCTCTGTACTGTAGCTCAGACAGACTTGCTTTCGTTCTAATAGCTAATAGTCAGGGTGCTGTCTTCCAGGGCTAACCCCAATACAATCACAGAATCCTAACAAAATAACTTCAACACAAGAAAGTTATACCTCCAGTTCAGCAAAGCACTTAAAAATGGGCTTAAGCCCTACTGATATCAATGGAAACATGTTTGGCTTTACTTTTCTCTGGACCTAGGCTTACTCCTCTTACTGTCACATGCCCTCGGAGCCATAACTGGTTTTGTTGTAGCTTACATTTCTCCCTACAATCTCAAATGTTTTCAGAACGTATATTAACCTTACATATGTTCTTCCTCACACGTTCCCTCAACTCACTGCTAGCTAGAGAAGATTCCACTCCCTTCAGGCAGAAACTCACTCCTTTATAAGAGTCCCAAGGTGTTTGTGATGCATTTTCACTAGCTCACCCTGTCTTCTCATCTGTTCTAGCGTGAGCTCAGATGTTAATCTGACTTGCCGGAGACTTTGTTTAAAATCCCAACTACTAGACAATCACTTATGTCCTTTCTGACTGAGGACAAAGTCACAATGCGCTGCTTATTCAGCAAGTGCATTTTTAAGGGATTCTGGGCTTTTTGTGGGTTTCTGTCCCCTTTGATAAAAGCATGTCCATTGAGTTACTAGTACTTCTTTTGGACCAAAGCGCTCACGCTGTTTTAGGATGGTGTCATAGCTATTCTTAGCTACTTCCTCCCAGAAGGTGAATGATTTATAAATATTTTCAGTTTCACTACCCACTGCGCAAATTAACAAGCTGACCTGAATTTTGGCCTGCCCTACTGAGCAACAGGTTTCTCATTAACTCATATTGGCTGAACTCACTGTGGCCCTATGGGAAGATGTCTTTGCATGCTTATGCTACACACATTAAAGGTTTATGATCTGTATGGTAACTTTCACTGTCTCCTCTTAGCACTCCAAAACATGGCAGAAAACCAATAAACACAAGAGAAAAAGATAGAGAATTATAACAAGCAGACATGAGTCCCTGTGTGAAAAGAGGAGTATTGCAGACTGCAGCTACAAGGCTAAATTACTAGCAGACGAGAGGAGGTGTGGTTCTCTTTCATTTTTGAACAAGAAAAATGGAAAATTCCAAACCCTGCCAAATATCGCTACTGAAGTCAAACTGGACTTTTGGAAAGTATTCTCAGGCTACAGCAAAGCTGCAGAGAAGGAGTTTAAACTCAAACACCAGGAAGCAGTGTCGCTTGCAGATTCCAAACACAAGTGGTTCTGTCTAAAACTGAGGAGGAGGAGGCTGTACTGATTTATTTTAAAACATCCAAACCATGCAGCAGAAACATTTCCATCAAATGCTTTAATTTAATGAGCTGCTTGGACAAACTCTCTCCTTCAGTAAAGCACATGAAATATGAAAGAGGAGAGGGAATGAACTAAGAGACTTCCTGATGAAGTTATCACCTTTCACCACACAAGGCAAGGAATTGCTGTAAATCATTGATTGGGTCCTGTGTGGCCAACAAAGGTGACTGATACCAGCTGTAAAAACAGCTCTCAAGAGTCAATGAATCAAGGTTTCTTTAGATCCTCTGATGTGTCATTAAGGCCCATATTCAGCGAAGTGCCTAAATCAGTAGGATTTAAGCATGTGCTTTGCTGAATTTGGGCCTACATAACCTAGAGAAAGTCAAGGGGTGAAACCCTGGCCCTATTGAAACAAATGGCAAAATTCCCAGTGACTTCAATGTGGGGCAGGATTTCCCCCATGGCATCCAGAGGCCAGAGCACAAGAGTCAGACTCAGGAACCCTGAATTCTAATCCTGGATCTAACACCAATTCAGCCTATTGCCTTGGTCAACATTGAAATATCTGCCTCCATTTGCCCTGCTGTCAGGTAGGGAGAACCACCCCTCCAACCCTGCCACAGACGGTGCTGAGATGGTTCATTCCTTGGTGTTTCTGAAGCCGTTTGAAGACGAAAAAAGTTAAATGTCATGATCAGCGCAATAATGGGCCAGATTCACCGGCAGGCTCCACCTGCTTTGAATTGCTCCAGAGACGCAAAGCAGCTATAAATCTGGCTTAACTGGCCACTTAAACCCGGTTCACCCCTGCTTTGTGCAGCCAGAGTGGCACTGAGCAGTGAGAACGTACCAATGAATCTAGCTGGTTATTGAAGTCTCCTGTGGGCTGTAGCACTAACAAGGTCTGCTGTCTCCAAGTCACGTTCTGTAGCAAGGCACTCTAAAATGAAATGGAATGGTGGCACACCAGCTCCCCTCCCCTGTCCCCTTTAAGAGATAAAGGGCCACTGATTTTTGGGCAGCTTGAATTTTTTTCATTCTCCAAGGATGAAAGAAAAAAAAAAAGGAGAGAGAGAGAGAGAGAGACGGGCGATATCAGGGACTTTCCAAGTAGTTCTGCACACAAATTTGCTCCTCAGTCAGCCCTGACTGCTCCATTTGTGCAGCCAAGCCAGGTCCCAGAACAAACCTGGAGTAGTGATTTGGTGCTGGAGATGCAGGCTACCATGCTGCTGTCTTGCTAGAAAGCAGGAAGAAGAGGGTTTTTTCACCCCTGGGCTCCTGCCACTGAGAAATGGCATGGCCAATGGGCTCATTCATGGCTTAGCTAGGACAATGAATGATGCTACCAGTACAGTCGCTCCCATTACTTGCTGTGGGTTGAGTCTGCTCTGAGGGAGCCTTCCTGATCTTACACAGCCTACACGGAGGCCGAGCAAACCTGCACCAGTCAAACATGACACTGCCCAAAGGGGAGAAATCCACCTCTGAGCAGGGAGCCAGCACAAGGCCTAGGCCTGGCCGAGTCTCACTTACACATTACACCCCTGCAACTGGCCCTGTCCCTCTGAGGTGACTTCAGAGTGGCCTTATACCATCGCTTTGCGTAGCACGGTGGGGTCCTGGCCCAGGGCTGGGATTCTTGGGTGCTCTAGTAACACAAATAAATAATAGATCATTACTAATCATCTCCCCCTCCCCAATAGGGAGGCAGTTCCCCTGCAGCTTTAGCATGCTCTGGAATTCAAGATAACCACTGATATGCCATAAATAAGCCAGTCAGCTGATCCCCGGCAGGCACAAATGGGTTTGCTTCCCAGGCTATCAGTGGAGCTGCACCTGTTCACATCAGCAGAGACTCTGGCCCGTTGCCTGGATCACCTCTAATAGCCAGTCTGAATTTTTATACTGATAGTCGTTTTTGGCAAACAATGTTCATGATGTTTTGTTCTAACCTATCCCAAGAATACGCTGGCTCTCGATTTCTCATTTTCTATACGTTATCTCATGTACACTAGAAGAACCATATTATTGAAATCTAGCTATTGCTGTGTTTGTACAGCACCTAGAGCAGTGGAGTCCTGGTCCATGGCTGGAGCTCCCAGGCATTAGGGTAATACAAAGAATAAATCATCATCATCTATTTATATTATTAAACAATAGGCTGGGGACCTGGAGGGTGCAGGGTGAGAAACAAGCAACTCAAGGTATGTCTACCCGTAGGGCGGCCCGTAGAGTACGGACACCGCACTCCCAGCAAGCATGGGTATAAACAGCACTGGACAGTGAGCTAGGGCTTACGTGACTACCGTAGAGCAGAGCAGAGTGCCCTACATGCCTGAACCCCAACGTATATATCCCACCCAGTGCTCTGCAAGCCCAAAACAGCGCCTCCCACAGCTACATGGCTATGTTTAGCAGTGTAACATCTCACAAGGCTCCAGCAGCGGGGAAAGGGCTCTGGCTGGGGGCAAGCAGTGGGGAGGCAGCTGGGAAAGTAACAACTGACCAGTGACTAAAGCAGAGATGGTTTGTCTCCACCATCCCAGAGAACGCATTAGCCCCACCTTTGCTAATCGAGATCAGATGAAGAAAGCATCCCTTAGTACCCAAAGGCTGTAGGGTTCATAAGCTGTAGTTAGGGTTCATAAGCTGTAGTTAGGGTTCATAAGCTTAGTACCCAAAGGCTGTAGGGTTCATAAGAGGCAGGGACCCCACAAAGGTGCTCTTGAATCTGCATTCCTGTCCTGCAAGATGCAGTGACTGAGAGTGGTCCCTCTGGAAAAGGCAGGCATGTAGCACTCTCAGCAAATGTCAGCTAGAAGGCTGAAGCCGAAATGCCAGAAGACCAAGGAGATAAATTCAGCTGGATTAATTAGCCATGCATCTTAAATCTCCTTTACAGCTACTGGCATCAGACAGAAAAAGGGGAATGCAGGCACACGAATAAAGTGAATCCAGGGCTACTGTATTACCAGTGATGAGGTTGCTTTCTAGCACTGCTAACTCTTCTTTTTTCTACCATGCCTCATGGTCAGCATAACATGCAGTGACATGCAAAGTCAGCAAAGAGGCCCAGGACCGAATGGGGAGAGACATTCGGACAAATGCACCATGAAATTTGGCTAACCATGGCACCATGGTGATCCATGTTCATTAGCTCTCAATAGTCGCTGGGACACTGCACCCCATATTCTTCACAGTGATATTATTATAATATAATGATGACATCATCATCCAAAATACGTCAACACCTTTCAGAGTAGAAAGAAAAGGAGGACTTGTGGCACCTTAGAGACTAGCTCACGAAAGCTTATGCTCAAATAAATTGGTTAGTCTCTAAGGTGCCACAAGTCCTCCTTTTCTTTTTGCGAATACAGACGAACACGGCTGTTACTCTGAAACCTTTCAGAGTAGAAACGCCCTTTATATTACCCCGATCTCTAGAGGTAGGCCTTCAGGTCAGGGGTGAGGCACTTTGGCTGGGGACAGCACTGGGAAGCTGTGGCTGAAGCTGCCTGAACTGTGTGTGTTCTGTGGATAGACAGAGGATGGGCAGATGCCCATGTGGTAACACCAGAGACCTTCACCAGCACCAAACTCCCGCATCAACAAGGAGTCCTGTTCCCACAGGTACAAACCTTCTATGAAGTCCGAGGCTGCGTACATGTGATGGTTTGTGTTGCTATCACTGTTCTGGCTGTTTAAAGTTTCCAGGGCCAACTCAATAGCCTCCGCTAGCTCATCCCGCTTGTCCTTCCTCACGGGTTTCTCCTCGGGGTGGCGTGTCAGCCCTGTATCCAGCTGATACACCTTCTGCAGGGTGAAACTCTCGAAGGGCACAGCTGCGTACTCCGTGGGCAACTTGGCGCCGGCGTGCACCTCAGATCTGTCTATTTGGGAGCGCAGGAACTCCAGCAGGTCAGCGGGGGTCTTCTCTGGGTTGCTGCGCTCCAGCCCCGGGCCCAGCGAGTCCGTGTAATGGTCCTGCAGGCTCTTCAGCTGCTCGCTCCGCTCCTGCAGCTCATCCTTCAGCTGCGCGATTTGCTTCTTGAGGCTGTTGATGTAATTGTGGTGCTGCTCCTCCCGCTCCTGCAGAATGGCCTGGTACCCCTCCTTTCCTGTTGGGCTGTTGGCCCTGGGGAATGCAAGCTGCTCATCGATGCCCTTCGGCGTACAGGCCAACATGTAGAGGATGGACACGGCAGAGCAGAGCACCACAAGCAGAACGACCATCCGCGGGAGCCAGGCACTCAGCCCTCGCCGAACCATCATCTCTCCGGGAGCAGGTGTGGGTACGTCAGCACCTACATCGCTGTGTGTCCCCCAACAGTAACCCTAAACAGATGCATGTACGTGCATGAGTGGGTTTCGCAGCTTCCTTCTAAAGTGCTTGCTCCCCTCGGGTATCAGGTGCAGCCTCACGTGTACTTGGCAGTGCTAAGAGCCCAGCTGCAAAGGAGACGCTGTGAGCCGAGTGACACCAGCCACTCCCCACAGTCACTCCCATTGTTATCTTATCAGCTTGCAGTAGTCGGCAAAGGGTGACCTGAAAGACAAGCAACAAAGACCAGTTATGGATCCATATGCCACTCAGTGGTCGAGAATGGACGAGGGCTGTAAGTGTGCACATGTGCAGTAGCATTTCCTACTGTACCTTGTAGAGCTGCCTAAGCAGCGCAGAATGCTGTGTCGTACTCTTCAGCTGTGGACAATGCTAAATCTGTGAGGTGCTAAGGTGCTGGCCCTGGAAATCGCATACACATGCGGTATCTTGAGATTCCCCCCACTGCAGCATGGGTCATGGATCACCAGCTAGGATTATCTGAGCAGGTCTCACCTCATGAGTTCCCTGCCATCCAGGGGCCTCGGGCAATGGTTGCACCTTGGTCTCTCCTGTTCTCTGTCTCCTGAAGACTAAATTGCTTTAGTTTAACCAAAACGTCACCCTCAACACAGGGTTAGCTGGGTGGAATGTAATGGCCTGTGATGTGCAGGTCAGAGTAGATGAGCTGATGAGCTCGAAGCCCCTTCTGGCGTAAACCTCTATGAAACTTTAGACACACCGAGTAGTCCCAGTTAAAGCACACTAGGAAACTCTTAGTGCATGCTAGCAGGGTCCACACAGGCCAGTTAGTGTGCAACACGTTGGTGCTCTTTAGTAGTGTGCCTTGTTGTACCATGGAGACAAGCCCACTGACTATGGACAAGAGGTCTGGGCTTAAAAGTCTACTAAATCCTACAAACACTTCAGGAAGCCTACAGCGGCCATCTCATGGCCAGATTTTCAAACAAGCACAAATTCACATTTTCAAGTCCCCAGCGCCCACAGTTGGCACCAGATTTCCAAACAAGCTTAGCTCCGACACTGGTTCCTAATTAAGATTTTCAAAGGGGCTCAGCACCTCGCAGACCCCACTGCGATATGTGTGGCCAGATTTTATGTGCAGGGCACAGAGCATTCTCAACAGCAAGGCTTGCAGCTCTGGTTTCACTTGTAGCATTCTGCAGTGTCTAAGGGAAATTGTCTAAGTAAATAGTGGAGGCATCTTTTGATTATTTTGTTCTTTAAAAAAAATAATCCTAGGAAATGCTGTACAAAAAGCCATGTGAAGAGATGATTACGGATGGGACTTTCAGACTCATTTAGTATTGGCCCAACTCTGCTGCTACTGAAGTATTTTATCATTGACTTCACTGGGAGCAGAGTGGAAAGCTATTGAAAAAAGTCCACTCTACATTTGCATTGTTAAGCTCTCAGAAGTCATGAAATCTAAGTTAGCCTTACACCTTGCATGTCTGCCTTGTGGTATGGTTTTCAGTTTCTTGCAGCTGCATCAGTCTAGCTACAAATATCCCCACAATGACAGGCCCCAAGATAAACATATTTTACTCATGAGACTAATACAACTTCTGGGGCCATTGCTGGATCTTGACCCAAAGCCAATTGTAAACAATGGGGTTCTTTCTACGGACTTCAATGGGCTTTGGATCAGGCCACTACATATAATGGAGTGGGGACAAGGAGGTAGGAACAGACTTTAAGGGACAATGAGTAAACAGCTGTGGACATGAGTTTCATACCTCATAAAAAGAAAAGGAGTACTTGTGGCACCTTAGAGACTAACCAATTTGAGTATAAGCTTTTGTGAGCTACAGCTCCAATGAAGTGAGCTGTAGCTCATGAAAGCTTATGCTCAAATAAATTGGTTAGTCTCTAAGGTGCCACAAGTACTCCTTTTCTTTTTGAGAATACAGACTAACACGGCTGTTACTCTGATACCTCATAAAGTTTAAGACCAAAGGAACCATCAGATCATCTAGTCAGGAGGTTCCTAGTCTAACCTCCTTCATATCACAGCCTATAAAGCATTACCTTCCATCCTCATATCTCTATATTAAACCCAAAGGATTTAGTTAGACAAAAACATTTCAGTCCTCAGGAAACTAAATTGTGTGCTGCAGACAGAAGAGGAGGGGTCAAGGTGCCACCAAGGCCCAAGGTCCCCGCAACAGAGAATGGATTGAGATATGCCCAGAAGATGCGAACAGGTGATCCATACCCCATGCTACAGAGGAAGGAGGGAAAACCTCCAGCAAAGGTTCCTGCCAATCTGATCTGAGGGGGGTCACCTAAAAGAGCTAGTTACACACATTCTTCTCTTAAATAATGGAGGAAGAAGCTATAGGTTCAAGATGACTTTCAGCAGGCTGAGTTTATGAATTGTTTGCTCAAGCCATCTTCCACATTATCATTCCCAGATAGAAAGCAGATGGGAAGGTTGTGAAATTGTCTTGCAAGCACAGCCACAAAGAAAATACACAAGAGCTACTTGTAGTATGAACCTTGGTTTTCCATCTCTCTATTGTTCCTGGTGACTTGTACTACAGCAATTCTCCACTGAAATGACTGGCCCTTTAGTTTTTATCAGTGTTTAACAGCTGTGCGGTGTCACTTAGGCATGTGGGTTTGTTTGCAGGGAAAGCTATAAAAATACAGCTCTACTTTTTAAGTGACACTGAACTGCTGATAAAATATTTATAAGATTTCCCAAAAAATGCCAGTGATTTCAATGGAGAATTGTTGCAATAGACAAAAATATTCAAAGCAGCAGAAAGAGAGCACAGAGAGGAGCTTGTAGATCAAACTCTACTTGCCTTTTCTCAATGATCTTTTCTCAAGAGCAGCTCACCCAGCTTCAGCTAATCCTTACTTGGTCATAATCATCTCTTCTTTAATTGACTTCCCGTCACTCATACTGAAAATGCACATAGTGTACTAGGTGCTGTCAACATGGTAACACCTCTTCATTCCTTTCACATTTGTCAACTGCCTACCTCTTCAATTTGCCTTTTGTTCTGCAAAAGGCTGTACCACAGCTGCTTCTTACAGATGCGCTGTGAAAGCAGGTCTCCTGAAATGCAAGGGATCTATTCAAGGCATAGAAATTAATTTGGGCATTTTTAACTCTCGAATGTATAAGGCCAAAGGACTGCAAGAAGGGAGTGGGCAGTGAGGCAAGGGGCAGGAAGTGGTAGGATGTAGTACATAAACTGCTGTGTACGTATGCTTCACTTCGCACAATCAGTCCATTGACTGCATTGGCATACGCTGAACTTTAGTGAAAGGATTAGTTGTGCTAACAGAGCATAAACTGAAATTACATCTCCATGTCTTAGATAAACACACCCTTTTAGTTCTCAAAGAGGCATCAGGCTAGGGCTTTGGTTAAAGAGCTCTTCCAGTGTTGACCCTCCAATACACATCTATAGCTATGCTGCTCAAACATACAGCTCTTTGTCTAGGGGGTCCCCTCCTCCCAGGTCGCCTTTTTCTGGATCTTTTAAATCTCATTTGTCAGACATCTCTAAATGCACTTCAAGGACACTGTATGGTCTGACTGCTTTGTTCACTCAATAGCAAGAGAGAAATGGATGCTGTGGGAAGGCCACCATGGTATCACCGGTTTCAGAGTAACAGCCGTGTTAGTCTGTATTCGCAAAAAGAAAAGGAGGACTTGTGGCACCTTAGAGACTAACCAATTTATTTGAGCATAAGCTTTCGTGAGCTACCTCCAATGTGAGCTGCATCCGATGAAGTGAGCTGTAGCTCATGAAAGTTTATGCTCAAATAAATTGGTTAGTCTCTAAGGTGCCACAAGTCCTCCTTTTCTTCATGGTATCGCCGTGACCTGTGCTGTATGGGAGAGTGAGTGAGTGAGTGAGTGTGTGTGTGTGTGGGGTAGTGATGAGACGGACGGGACACGACTGTCCCCTATCACTCACAACGTGTCACATCTGCTCATTTAAATGTATCAACTCCCTGGATTAGCCCAACTTCTTGAGCAGCCCTATTAGATCAGTCAAGGGCTGCAGGCTACAAGCTCTATTTCTGCTGCCTTGCTTGCATAGCTGGCAGCAGGAAATGAAACAAGCATCCATCCACTTGTCTCTGTGACAGGGTACCCTTTACTGGGCAGCAGCCCTCAAGCTTAGAGCAGGAGCTCTGGGGGGATCTCTAGGAGGACAAGACATGTAGCAGATTACAGAATATGGAGAGTCTCTAGCTGGGGAAACAGTCAGGTGACCCTGAGTGCAGGCCTCAAGGCCCCCAGGAATCAATCGGGGAAGGGTCACCCTCTCTCACTAATGGGAGCAGCAACATCTCCGGTGCATGCAGCGATAACACACACATATGGACAGGAGGAACACAGAGGGTAGCCAGTCCTCCCCACCCCTGCAATCACACCTCTGACTGCAGTGTAGACATACGCTTAGACATGTAGGGCCAGATCCTCAGCAGGTGTAAATAAGAGGAGCACCACGGATTTCATTGGCGCTTTGCAAATTTGTACCAGCTGGGGGCCTGGGCTGCAGCACACATGTGCACTGCAATCTCAGGTTTTCCATAAAATGACCTAAGAATGCCTGTGTGTTCTGTGGTGCTCAATAGCTAATTGTATTAAGAACTTGTGATTCCGGCAGATCAGGTACCAGCTCATGCCAAAGCCCCAGGCCAATTTACTTGTGTATTAGTATAGATCAAAGTGATTGTTAAATGTATAAGAGTGTATTTGGTGTTTAAACTTCAAGAAAACTAATGGGATGTTACTGGCATTGTTTTCATGTATCTATATCCCGTTATAATGTAATAGCACACACTTACACTGTGTACACCCCTGTAACTAAATAACCCGCCAATCAAGAAAGAAGCCTTGTGGAATGCAAATGATGAATTTTAACAGAAAAGTGCTAATTTCAAAACAATTGAGGATTGGAGGTCAAAGACTCTAAAGATAGGTTTCAGAGTAGCAGCCATGTTAGTCTGTATCTGCAAAAAGAAAAAGGAGGACTTGTGGCACCTTAGAGACTAACAAATGCATTCCTCACTCTCCGTCATCAAAGGAAGAGCCCATGTGGGTAGTGACCCTGTCAGCTTGTTTTCTGTGCGTAGAAGCTATAAGAATGGATTCAGGGAAAGATGCTTCATCTCTGGACAGTTTGGATTCTAACTGAACGAGAAGACAAGAGATCCACAGGGTTATTCTG